TCTTCTTTTATAATTAAGTGCTCTGGGCACTTATTTCTCTGTTGAACTTGTATGGTGTTGCCTAATCCTTTTGCTTGTGTTTTGTATGGGAGTGGCATCATACTAGAGACAATGCCTGGGCCTGTTGGGGGAAACTGAAATGTTGCCCTGCTGGCTTGGTTGCTTTGGCAGCTGTATTAACCACTTGGCAAAAAGATCATCTTTTAGATTATACAGGGAGAGACATGGGAAATGTATTCCAAAGCAGATTCAAGGACGTAGGCATGTGTGTGCACATACTCCAACAAGTGCCTCTTAAGTATTTCATAAATCACTCCAGTACATAAATAAATTGAAAGTGGAGTGAAAAATGTTGGAGCTACTCAGCCAGTTCTCTGTTCAATATAGTAGTAACTAGGTTTAGTTAAAGGTGCGTCTTTTAACAATTCGAACAGAGAATAAATGTTGACAGTGAAACCTTTCTTCATAAAGGATTAATGGAAGAAAATTCTCCTTTCTGAGGAAGTGTATGTGTGTGTGTGTTTATCTACATTATCTACACTAAAATATAGAAGTGAATTGGAATAGAGAATTTTCACCCTCATAAGATATACAATAGCAATGGTTGATTAGGAAAGTAATCTAGGTATGATTGCAGCTTTTCGAAAAATGCATTTAAAGTAATATCTCACAGATACTTTTTGCCAATATAATAAAGCTGTTATATAAGTTATCACATGGCCAACCTTAGAATAAGTACACATTAAAGAGGCTATTGCAAAACTCGCAAGTGCTTCAAGAAACTAAATCAAAATAAGTAGAAGCACTGTGAAGAATGTTTACAAGATTTTAAGGATTTGTTGCCAGGAAAATTAGTAAATTGGAGAGCAGAAGAAAGATATATGATCAAGAATTACACTGCTATATATGATATTCAATTTGATCACAGATTGTAATGTGAGAATGAAATAATTTATTAAACAGCTATGGGGAAGTTTTCATTCTTGTCATATTACAGTTTTTTAAAGTTAGCTGGGGAGAAGCTTTGGGAGGCAATATGCTGACTCTGTTAACCGCTGTAAAGTTCTATAAAACAATATAAGTAAAAGAGCTAGTGTTGTTCTCAAATTACTGCAATTTATTAAGTAGCTGGGGAAAAGCTTTTCATTGTCATAATATTGAAATCTGTGATCAAACTGAATGATGGAAAATTCAGGATAGATATAAAGAATAACTTTGTTCAGCCCATATTTAAACCTGGCATTCATTGTCAGAAGATCTAGTGATGGCTTTCCAGAAGGATTAAATGAATTAATACAGGAGAAAGATGTCATGATTACCAATCAAATTGGTTATATTATTTCCATATAATTTATATTGGAGATGATAAGCCTGTGAATAACAGAAGAAACCATTAAAAGAAAATTAGTACTTATGTTAAATATGAATTCAATCTTTACATTAGATTACCTTTCCTTTGATTTAGTAGTCTTATTTATTCATATTCTTTGCAACATTACTACATGGGCAGATTGCCCATTAATTTTACAGTTGCTGATTTTTAATATAGTATAGTCTCTTTATTTGAAATGTATGAATATCTAAATGCAGTAAAGCACTTGAATTGGAACTTTTCTGCTTCATAATTCATACTGTTGGCCCTCAGCTCCGTGTGTCTTTTCTTAAGAGCACATAGGCAACTGAAACCTTTAAAGTCCCTATTGTGCAAGTATGACTATCTCATTTTAAAATAGGGTGGAGTTTTCCCTGTCATCTTCTAACTTTGGTTTCAGTTCCATGTTTCTGTCCTCAGGATAATGGAAAGTGTGCATATATGAGTTTGAGGTAGGGAGGAAGACTGTTTTTGGCGCAATTCAAGAAAATAAAAATATGCTGTTTCTTCTTTTTTTTTGCCATATATGGCTTGAAATTGAATGGAGGAACTTTAGTTTCACAATTACCCATCCATATAATCCATTGTTAAGCGTACATTTTACTTTTATTTAATCAAAGCAAGCTAGGGAGTTTTTATGGTGAGTTAACATCTTCAAATATGCATTTATTAATGTTTTCTACCCTTGTGCCTCTAATACATTTATCTGGAAGGCTGGCCCTTTCAGATCTGAAGGGTTAGGCTGCCCTTCCCTAACTTGGTGATTATTTGATGTATTAGCTGTAATTGTGATTCCTAAACAGCTTGGCATTTTACCTAGGTGACTCACACAACTGAAAGAACTGTAGTTTAACGTGACTGGCAACAGGCTATAGGGAGCAGAGTAATTGCTTCAGACTGGCAATTAAATTAACTAAAAAGGTCATTTTTCTGGGCACAGGAGAGAGATGTAGTCAGAAGTGAAACTTCAGGCAGGTTATCACTTAACTCAGGATTGTGTTGTTATGATTCTTCTCCAAAGTTTTATTAAGCATAAGACTTCTGGCATAACAGTGATAGAAAATGTCTTGTCTCCTAAATGTTAACAGCTCTGTACTTATTAGCAATATACGATGCATGTGGTTAAATTTGGCATCAGTACGTAAGAAGGTACATTACAACACTTTATCACAGCCTGTACATTGTCTTCGGTCATAAGGCTGAGGTAACATGTGACTAGAGAATGGTTAGCTGGGAGCTAGGGTAGTAAATTGCACCATATCCAGTTTACTTTCTGATAAATGGATATTGGATGGATGGCTACATCCACACTGGCAGCCATTTTATGAATCGACAAGCCTTCTCGTGTCAACAGTTTTGAAAGAATCCTACAATATTGTTTCAAAATCTGAAATACACACTAAAGGGAAAAAGTCTGCTAGCCCTGTTGCTCATACCAGGCACACCTATGGTATATAACTGTCCTAAACTTGTTTAGCTATCACAATTACTTTAGGATTGTAATTTTGTGAAGAGGCTGAAGATTCCCTTAGACAAATATGTATATTCTTAATATTTCTTTGGAAAAGCTTATCTTCTTCACATTGAGAGCAGTGTGATTATGACAGCAGCAGGAAAGGATCAGGCAAAGGAGAGATTGGTTACAGAAATTACTTCCCCCCCCCCCCAGTGCCCTTTACACAGGAGAGAAATTGGGGAGAAAGAAATTTCAAGAAAGTAGTGTAAGCTATTTGCATAGTGCATCTATAGCTCCCAGCCCTGACCTGTTGTTGTAATTGTATTGCTTTAGTCTGTTTTTTTAAATAGCGAACAGCTTACTTTCTTGCAATCCCTTTCTTTCCAATCTCTATGGTCTGCAAGAGGGGGAGAAAAACCCCAAGCACTGGACAACACGTACTGGTATTATGGAGATTACATGATTGAGGGATGATGCAAAGGCATAAATGGATCATAAAGTTATTTTTTCACCACCACCATAACTTTGAATGGTCAGTAAGTAAGGACCACTTGTACATGGTTAGTTTTTGCCATTGCTATATATTCACCATTTATGTTCCAATGAGATATTGATAGGATTGTATTTTTCTTCCACTTTTCTTTCTGCTGTAAGCATTTATTTCATTAAATTGCTACATTTATCTTTGATTTTTTTTCTGAGATTATATCCAGTAGTAAAAGTTGTAGCTTCATTTCAAGATCTTCTACATATATGTCTTTCAAATGTTTTTGCATTATTTTACATGTCAATCACATGTAATAAATCTTGTCTTAGAATTACATCTTTGAATTGTCTTGGAATTAGAGGGACGGATTGCTGTAGTTATTAAGGTGCTGGCCTAGAAACCAGAAGACTGAATTCTAGGCTTCTTTTAGATATAGAAGCCAACCGAGTGATTTTGAGCTAGTAATTCTGTCTCAGCACAATCATGGCACTGTTGTGTGGAAAATAGGAAATAGTAGTACCAGTATTAAGAACCACCTGGAGAGTGTATATGTGTGTTTGTTTGTACTTATATGTGGTTATATGATGAGATAAAAATGTAATAACAATAATAATATAATTTGTATATATAAGAAATTATTGAAGTTGCGTACCATCAATAATATATAATGTATAATAACCATTCAAACATGCTTCTCCTATGCTTGAAGAGAAATGTTTTCGATCAATGAATGCTACATGTTCTATCATATGCCAGTGAAACATGGACAGTAACCTCACAATCGACACAAAAGCTACAAGTGGTGCAAAGAACCATAGAAAGATACATGCCTGGCATTACAAGATGAGATAAAAAGACCAACACATGGATTAGTGAACAATATCATCAAGAGAGTAAAAGAATTGAAATGGAAATGGGCTGGTGACATAGCAAGAAGAACTGATTGTAGGTGGAGTAAGGCAGGTATAGAATGGATTCCATTTGATAAAAAGCATCCACAAAAGAGACCTAAATCAAAATGAATTAATGACATCAGTAAGTATTGTGGGCCCAATTGGCAAAAGAAAGCTCAAGACCATATTGGTTGGAAACATGCAGAAGATAGACAATGGCTAGAATGATAGTTGGAAATATGCAGTGAATAGATAATGGCTAGAAATGATTATGATGAACGTATAATATGTACCAATATAGATGGTAAACAACTCCAACTTAATTTTCCTTTAAGTTACAACTTTGATGTAAATGTGGATTTAGCCCATAGTTCCTTCCATCGTTGCAATGTAACTGTTATTTTACTTCCATTTTGTCATGCTGTTTTTTTTTCTCTTTGTTATGCCTTTTAAGTAAGAAATGTGTGCATATTGTACTACTTTTATATGAGAGTTTCTAATTCTTGGGTTTTTTATTACACTTGTCATTGCAGATTCCAGCCTTTACTGAGTAATTTTTTCTGTGTTTTTAATATGCAATTGTAATTTTGTTTTTCTTGCTTTAATTCTTTCCCACATGAAAAGCTTTTGAAGAACAAGCTGGGATGAAATTCTTGGGCTTACTATTCACCTTACAGCATTACATATTTTATCAAACTTTGTTTGATAATATGTCTTTTAAGCTTCCAATGAATTCTTGATAGTTGCACAACCAAATTTTCTAAAATGCCTATTTTTTTTCTTTCACACCAGCGTCCTGGAATGTTGCCCGGTGGAAGGATGCCTATGGCAGGATTACAAGTGGGATCCCCTTCAGGCTCTCCATATGGTACAGCCTCTTCAATGAGACCTGGAATGCCACCATCCCTGATGGATCCCTTCCGAAAGCGTCTACTTGTTCCTCAGGCACAACCACCTCCAGCACTTACACAAAGGCGAGGGTAAGAATGTAGATGAAATAGGTGGAATATTGTTGTTCAGGTGATCATGAGTTAGTGACCACTCATTCAACAACTGTTTGAACGTAGGACAACATTGAACAATTATTATTTATGACTATCCTCAAAGTTCTGACTATCACTGATTGTGATCTGGGTGCTCAGCAATTGGCCCAGATTTCAGAATGTTGCAGTGTGTGACATGATGGCAATTTGCAATCTTCCTCCACATAAAAGGGGAAGCCTGCAGGAAGATGGAAGTCACAGTCATATGAATATGATCCCGAATGATATGCTTAATAACGATATCCAGGGAGTGCCAGGACTGCTTTACTAAGGAGCTAGTTTAGCACAATATTTCCCTTTGTAATCACATTGATTTTACAATGGAAATTCTGTACCTGATTACCAGTGTTAACCAAGGACCACTTATATGTTCTGCATTCTATTTGTTATTGTGTTCTATTTATTAGTTTGAACTATCAAGAGTCTTTTATGATTGTGTATATTTGATAAAGACACATACATTTTGAATAAATATGTGAATAAAAGAGTGGAAAAGATAGTTATATATTGTTTTATGTTTAATCGTCTGTATATAAAACTTGTCTTGAAATGTGTGATATTTATAAAGATAGAAAAGTTTTACTTTCTATTCCTTCTCCTCCCCAAATCTCTTCCATCTTAAAGTTCTCCCTTGCTTCAGTGATATATACTGATGAAATGGATACAGGTAGTCCTGTTCAGCAACCATTTAAAGCCATGACTGTGCTGAACAAATAGTACTTACAGTATGAGGTAAAAATTGCAGAGAAATTGTATTGTTAAGGGAAGGGCTTATACCAAACTGTAGAGTACTTTATCCCATATCACTGCTATGCAAAACTAATTGGGCAGACTCTAGTATTGAGCAGAAAGCAATAGTAGTAGCATTTAGACTTATATACCACTTCACAGTGCTTTACAGCCCTGTCTAAGCGATTTACAGAGTCAGCATATTGCCCCAAATAGTCTGGGTCCTCATTTTACCGAACTCAGAAGGATGGAAGGCAGAGTCAACTTTGAGCAGGTGATAATCAAACTGCCAAACAGTGGGCAACATGCAGTTAGCAGAAGTATCCTGCAGGACTGCATTCTAACCACTGCATTCTAACCACCACAGCTCATTTATTTTGAAATGGCTATTTCAAGATAAATGAAAGGACAAGAAAAGTTGTATAATTCATTATATTTTTATTTATATATATATATTTATATATTTATGGGATCAGGGGTAAGAAGAGACTTTTTGGCTCATGTACCCAATTAACTTTGCAGGCCCAATAAATTATGTACCTGTCAGTGTTCCAGATAGTATCCAAAATTAAATCAGAGTCCAAGGCCAAGTACTGCTCAAAGTTTCAATTTATTAAGAGAGCCATGCAGGCACATCTGGGAAAACCTGAATCTGAAACTTCTCAGTTTTCCCCACCCAAGTTAAAGTTCATGATCCTACCCCCCACCCCACACACAAGTCCACCACATGGTCCAATCTTCCACTGCCATGCTGTTAGTTCCACCTATCCAGTTCCCGTCAGGTGGCGAGGTGCTAAGACAAAGGATGACCTTGACAATCTAGAAAGGAATTTTATTTTAGATACATAACTTTCTACTCCATACTATCCTTCTTCCCAATTCCTCACTATAGAAACAGCATAGTAGAGTAATAGAAGTGTGGCAGGCCAAAGATCCAAAAGGAACATGGCTGCAGGCCTGACAAGTAGCCTCTCTTCAGAAAAGAAACATTTCCTGCAAAGAGAATAATGTAGGGGTTAACATAACAGAATTAACCACCTCTCCCTCCCCCGTGGGGGGTGGGGAAGCTTGGCTTATCGGGAAATTTATCATGGGATTGTTTTACTAATTAATCAGATTTTAGGTTCCAACTTTTCACCCAAGTAGCCTCAGACAAAGGGTACCCTTCCAATGTAGTAAATATTACAATACAATACAATAGCAGAGTTGGAAGGGACCTTGGAGGTCTTCTAGTCCAACCCCCTGCCTAGGCAGGAAACCCTATACCGTTTCAGA